TTTAAAATTTTAATTCAAATTTTTATCTTATTATTATTCTTTAAACGCACGTAATGTTGAATCTTGATTTTAAATTTGATAAAAGTTTATGTCTTTTGGGATTTTTTAAAATAAAATATTGATTTTGAGAACTCCCACACTTGATCCTTCTATTAAATCTAATCCATTGTCAGTTTATCTTCTCATTTTTTTTTGGTTTCCTGTTCGGTATCTGAAGTTTTGTCCCGATTAATTCGAATCGATCCGTGTCGCGCATATAAAAATAGTGGGTGAATCTCCCAATGAAAACTACTGTGTACACAAGATCTCGAACTCAAAATTTTACTTAAGCTGAAACAAGCTGCTTACCATTTGATTCAACCCTTCGTTGGTAGTTTATCTCCTCATACTCATACACAAAGTTAGAACAATATATATTGTAGAAGGATTTACTTATATATATATATATAAAACAAAAAAATCTACATAAAAATAATCAGAACATTTTCACGTTTAAAATGATAAAATGATAAGACATTCAATAAAAGCCATAAAATATATAAGATATATACCGTGTAAATCCTAATTAAATCACTAATATTTTTAGTATTAAGATATTTTATTTAATTTTTTTGTTTTTTTATACATAAAATAAAATATCTAGCAAGATAAGTTCTGTATTAAAGATTGAAGAATCAAAGAGTGTAGAACTCCACCAAGCAGCCTAATGACTGCGTGCTTTATTGAGGTAAGTGGGCTATTTATCAAATCTAGAGATCAAATATCTAATTGTTAATATCTGACAATACTAACTAACTTATCATTACTTTTATAAAAAAAAAATATATATATGGAATCAAAGAGTGTGGACTGTGCGAAATTCCTGGCACTGATTTGCGGCTCGCCTGGTTGACTTCTAATAATACATATAGACCCATTTGGTTGTTTTAGGCTTTGGTCCAAGTTGGAGGGCGGGTTGGGTCCAAAGGATAACGAATAATGACAACCCTTATTCAAACTATCCTAGTTGATCTGGTTTGGGCCGCTTTTTTAACCTCTGTTTTCAAGGGAAAAGTTAAATTGTAATAAATATATTTTTTATTATAAATTTATATTAAAAAATAAAAATTAATTATTAATTTATTAATTATTAAATTAAATTTACTTACATAATATTAATATTAATATTAATTTTTATATTTTTTTTATATATTTGTAATAAAAAAATATTTTTAACTTGTATTATTAAATTACATGTTAAAAAAACTTCATTTAGAATTGTAGAAGTTGGGGAGGGACTAATTACCTGACTCCTTTTTAAGCATTTTCCATTGAAGGCTGCTCATAATTCAAGTTTCGGCTGACCATGTGTGGAAATGTCAATTGGTTAGGGTAGTCTCAGCGGTAGACGTCTTTGCCTATCTAATAAGTCTGTGGTAAGGAATGTTGGAGACTATAGTGTGTGTGAAAGAAACCTAAAATCTTTTGTGCTGGTAATGAAAATTAAGCATACAAAGAAATCC